CCATCCTTGGCCCTGAGCAATCTGATTTGAAGTTAGTGGTGCTTGGAGAAGGATGCTGGACTACATGACCACCAGAGGTCCTGTCAAACAAATTTCATGTAATTCTGTGATCTTGGAAGAATATCCAAAGATGGGAACCGCTAGGACTGTGATCATCCACAAGCCTGTGCTGATCGTGTTGCTTGCAGTACCAGTGTGCCAACGGCTCTCACTGTTACCTCCAGACATACTGGTTGCTTTGAATTCACAATTCTTTTCCTTATCTCAAGCAGCTTCTATGGGGAGACTCCAGTTACTCCCCTGGCCTTGCAAAGCTCATTGTTAGGTCTGTGTCCTGCAAGCCTCCCCAAGCACCACCAGCAGATTCCTTCACCAAACTGAAATGATGAAAGCGAGTTCATTTTCATACCATCCCACAAATTAATCTTTGCATGCACCTCCTCCACACAGGTTCCCGCCTACACATTCAATCCAGATACAAAGTGGCAGGACCTGGTGAGAAGCCCTGTGGAAACATCTATAGCAGTGGGCATAAGCATGGCCACAGCATGGTTCATGGAATCCCCTTAAATGTGTCAAGACTGTGGTGAAAGGGAGACATTTGTGCACATTTCCATGAGGCATGCTAAGTTTAGTCCCCCTTTTGACTCTTTTTGAGATTTGGGCTGGACTTTTCCTCTCCCCTTTTTACATCTTTTCTATCAAGCTTCCTCCTATAACACAAGCAAAAGCGAGACAGGGAAAGCAGAGCTGGAGCTATCAGCCTTTGAGCAGGACACTGCTAACAGTACCCACCAGCTCTGTGGCTGCCTGCCTGAAATGTGCTGGCAGATGTTCTGCTTGGAGTTCATCTTGAATTTTTGAACATTCATCCTTTATTACCACTCCTCTTTTTCCTCATGTGCTCTTCTCTGCCACCTCACCTCCCTTCACCATTCACATATGTAATTGCTTCCTCCCTTTTGGAGCGGCTTCCAACAATGTATCTGTGATTCTGCTGTAGGGCTCCCACATGCATGGGGTAGCTTATTTCACAGAATGACAGAATGGCCGAGCTTGGAAGGGACCTCTGGAGATCAACTAAGTTCAACCCCCCTGCTCAAGCAGGGTCATCTAGAGCACATTACACAGGATCGCGTCCAGGTGGGTTTTGAATATCTCCAAAGAAGGATCTGTTGTCTGGCATACTTATAAGCTTGTAGACCTCCATAATTGAGGACTGTAGAGGCCAGGTACTAGCCAATCCCACTCAACAGTTCAGATATACATAGCCTAGAATCTATAGTCAGGCTGCTTTGGCACTACAGACAAAGGGAAGAAACAATGCCTGTAGCTTAGTTGGAGGATCTTACCCTGAACAGTAGGGGCTCAGGCAAATATCAGTGTTTAGTCTGAAGCCTCACCAGCTGAACGACAAGGTAGAGCACGCAGATGTCTAAACTACCAAACTTTATTTTCTCTAAACTCGCTCAAACTTGTCTCTTTCTCACAAATTGAAGCACAAGGGCACCACTCCCTTGGCTTTGTCCCCATTCTAACAGAAGTTTTCCTAAACCCTGCTGTGACTCTGTGATCTAGCTTAAAGATCACACTAAACAAAATGCCACCCTTGCTCATTTTCCTGTCTCCCTCCTCAGAACTAGCCATTAATCCAAAAGGACATGGTTGCATATCTGGTGTTTTATTCTGGTAGTCAAATCTCATCATCAAGCTGTTGGGACTGCCTGGTCATGTAGCCATGTAGACATGGTGGGAGGATTTAGCTACCTGGGAAGGCAGCAGCTGCATGGAAACAGGCTTAGCTGTGATTTAGACTGTAGTAAGGAATGTGCGAAGCAAGCAAATAGAAGCTGTAGGAGGTCTGCAATATGTAGCTGACGCATTCCAGATATCCACACAGCAGTAAGTGGAGAAGAGAAGGCAAAAAGTCAGAGTTTGAACAGACAAAGAGGATACCAGCGCTGAGTAGGGACTGGAGCAGACTGGAACTAACTATAAGCCCATAGTCACTTCACAGAATCACAGAATGGCCAAGGTAGGAAGAGGCCTCTGGAGGTCATGTACTCCAACCTCCCTGCTCAAGCAGGGTCACTTACAGCATGTTGCACAGGATCACAGGATCATGTCCAGGCAGGAGTCTCCAGGGAAGGAGACTCCACTACCTCTCTGGGCAACCTGTCCCAGTGCTCTGGCACCCTCACAGCCAAGAAGCTTTTCCTCAGGTTCAGATGGAACTTCCTGTGGTTCAGTTTCTGCCCGTTGCCTCTTGTCCTGTCGCTGGGCACCACGGAGAAGAGACTGGCCTCATCCTCTTGACACTCCCCCTTCAGATACTTGTACACATTGATGAGATCCCCTCTAAGTCTTCTCTTCTCCAGGCTCAACAGGCCCAGGTCTCTCAGCCTTTCCATGTAAGAGAGATGATCCAGCCCCAGCTCCCTCAGCTTTTCCTTACACGAGAGATGCTCCAGTCTCTTTAACCATCTTTGCAGCCCTTCCCTGGACACTTTGCGGTAGCACCATGTCTCTCCTGTACTGGGGAGCCCAGAGTTGGACACCGTACTCCAGGTGGGGCCTCACCAGGGCTGAGGAGAGGGGCAGGATCACCTCCCTCCACCTGCTGGCAATGGTCTTCCGAATGCAGGCTGGGATCCCATTGGCCTTCTTGGCCACAAGGGCACATTGCTGCCTCATGCTGAACTTGTTGCCCCCCAGGACTCCCAGGTCCTTCTCTGCAGAGCTGCTTCCCAGCAGGTCAACCCCCAGCCTGTACTGGTGCCTGGGGTTACTCCTCCCTAGACGCAGGACCCTGCGCTTGCCTATGTTGAACTTCAGGAGGTTCCTCTCCACCCAACTCTCCAGCCTCTCCAGGTCCCGCTGAATGGCAGCACAACCATCTGCTGGTATATAGCCAAACAGATTTACCTATTTAAGATGAAAGAACTCTTCGATCCTGGCACATGAACTCTAGCACAATACAAGTGAAAGAAACTTATCCAGCATTTCACATGAATTAGCAGTTTCTCTCTTTAAACTGAGACCCCAGTCACCTATTGATAGCATTTTAAGTAGTAGGAGGAAAACTGAGCTTGCAATTCTATCCCTAGCTATGTTTATTAGTGACTTGAATCACTACAATAAGAATCTAAATAAAGTCAGAGCCCTACAGCCTCCTGCTGGTGTTTTCAGAATGATTTTTGCTTTCAAGGATTCCATCACTCAAAGGAGGCTGGAGACTACTCAAGCCTATATCGTGTTGGCTCCCAATTTGGAAGAGAACTTTTGCTTCCTTCTCCTCTCCCTCTGGTTTTCATCCTCTCTTCCCTATTTTATCCTCACTGAAAATATTTACAGCTAGTTCTCCAGAGGCACCCGTGCTTAAAATCTGCCTCTACTTTTTCAGTCTATGTATTTTTTACTGAGTATTTGTAAATGCCTTAAATAACTTCAGGATTTAGTGGGGAGCAGGTACTTTCTTAGTGAGAGACTTATTCTGCAAACACCCTGTGGTTTTAGAAACACGTAATATAAAATGGTGCAGACTCTGGAAGCCTTCATCATTTGCTCCAAGAAATTTTAGGGGAGAGGTGGGAGGAAATAGGTGAAGTGAATTTCCACTTCTAATCTTTAGAAGACAGTATTAGTAGCCAAGCACAGAACAGAAAACACTAGGCAACAGTAATGACAGTGCAAGGTGAAGCTCCATTTTCAAGGATCTGAAATAATCATTTCAAAACTGAACCTTCCTCTTCAGAATCTCAATGAAAAATTTGTGCCTAAAGTCCTAGAACATTTACATTGTGCTTAAAGTCCATTTTCCTGCTGGAAGCAAGACTGCAGTTAAGCCTGTGTTGGGTGGGGG